GTTGTTGGTTGTTGTTGTTGGTTGTTGTTGTTGTTGTTGTTGTTGCTGTTGCTGTTGCTGTTGCTGTTGCTGTTGTTGTTGCTGTTGCTGCTGCTGTTGTTGTTGTTGTTGGTTGTTGTTGTTGTTGTTGTTGGTTGTTGGTTGTTGGTTGTTGTTGTTGTTGTTGTTGTTTTTGCTTTGATTTCCGAGTGGGCTCAGCTGTGTAATTAAGGGCGCAACCACGGATGTAGAAAGATGCACTTGGATCAAAATATTGTTTGTTGAATATTTGCGGGTACCCCCCATTTTAGGAAACCTCTATATTAGGGTTGTTTGTTACAACTACTTCTCACCAAGAATCACATCCGACGATATTTTGCCAAGCCCCCATCGCACCGGAGTTCCCAGGTGCCAGCTCCGCTGGAACCTGCTTGGCGCGGCGCAGAGGCATCACCCAAACGAAACCGTAGTTTCACAGAATTGAATAGTGAAAAAAAAAACAGTGCCTCCCCCCTATAATTACTGTTAGAAATTCGACCCTTGATAGTTTCAATTTATATTTGACTTCCAGATGGGGGGCTAACATGGAGTTTTTGCTGTTTCAGGCATCCAGTTTATATTCACCTGGTGATGAGACGTCTATCCAGCAATGGAAAATCCCCATTTATAGATTTATAACGATTTATAGACGAGTTATAGATATGTTTTTTCTCATTCAAAATGCCAATTTACAGGGGAAATCTAAGGATATCCATACTGGAAGGGTACACTTCAAGGGGATTTTCCTAGCACTGTATCAGGCTGGCCGGAGTTTCAGCTCAAGGGCACCCTTGGGTTTAGGGCCTCAGCGGTCGACCTGTAGATGTTTTTGTCAGAGAGGTTTGTCCCAATAGATGAAGGATCCTAGCGGTACCCCAGGTATCCCCAAGTTATAGTTATAGTCCACGCATGTCCACGTTCATTGAAAAGTCAAAATTTTATGAGACCATGGAGTGGACGAGGGTTCGAAATTTTGAGACAAAACCATGTTGGGAGTTTTGGACATTTTTGTTTGCCATAGGTCAGCGGATTGTGGAATTTACATTTTTTGGCTGTAAATGCATCAGGACGACGCGTTCCTATTAAGTTGGGGGGCATCGAGTTAGCTAATTGATACTAACTGGTTAGTAATCCCTTGTGGCCATATATTGAATCAAAAGCCACTTCTTGACTAGTTAACATTAGTTACCTTCATGGCCTGTTTCTACTGTGCATTTCTTGGAGAAACCGAAATCGAACCAACTCTTCCTGTGTCACTTGGAAGTTGACACGTCCCGAGGTTGCACGACCAACCTGGAGCAGGCTGGTGGTTTATCAAGTTATTATCCCAATCAGTTGGCGAGACAAATGGGTATGGATCAATACCTATTAATACCATTTTTAGTGGGATGAACATCCATTTACCAGCTATTTTGATGTCCACCAGGGGTATAAGGTTTTGACACACTGCCAAATGATGCTGTCTGATGATTCTCACTTGACACTTGGAGTTCCACCATCGTGTACTTGTGTTTGATCGGATTTAGGGAGTATGACCGGAGCCAGTGACATAAACCAGCATAGACTGAGACCGGTTGTTTGATGTTGAAACCAACACCCATCCATCAAGTCAAGATCCAACTACTGTAACTAGTTTGGACTATTTCCTAAACTTGTTGTTTGAATGGTTGGTTACGGTTCAGAATGTCCCAGATTTTGAGTTTGGCACCGGTATCCCACGCATGTTCCAGGGGTCCAGCGCCAGTCACTGGGTGGCAGGATGGGGTCTTAAAATGGGGGATGCAGGGCAAAGATATGATAGCTGGTTGAGAATCTATAATAAGACCTTCAGATATCATCAGAATCATCAGAATCTTGAAAAACATATGACTTCCGTAGTAGTTTTCGTGTTGCAAAGAATTCTCCAGAGGTGGTTTTGAACATGCTTGCTCCTCCATCCAACCTTGGGATTCTGATCCTCGCTTGATCGATTCTTCGGTACGCTGACCTCCATAGATCCAATTGCTGGTGGTTTTCCTCTGCCGAAGCTGTTGGAAGATTATTGTCCAAGACTTTCAACCCAAAAATGCTTGTTTTCAGGGTCTATGTTCATTGTACTGAAGGGTATGTGATTTGATTTTTGAGATGACTTTCAACAGTGAAATCCCATGTGTTTTTTTCCAATTTTGACTTGTTCAATCTCCATGTTTGCTGTTTTTTTTATAATTGGCAGAAACTTTGGCCAGCGCGTCTCTGGGCCTCCTTAGGTGGACCCAGCCATCTGGCCCAGGCGCGCTTGGGGGCCCTTTGGTTGACCTGTGCAATACAGTATGGGGATGGGTGAAAACCTATAAAATTACATGGGTATGGGTCAATACCTATAGATACATTTTTAGTGGGATGAACATCCATTTACCAGCTATTTTGGTGTTCACTAGGTACCAGGGTTTTGACCCATCCCCACATGAAATTACCATAGTTGGGGAATAAGCATCGAGCTATACCAGCTATACATACGTATCGGGTAGCATCCCGGTGCCAGGGTTTTGAGTCATAGGCATAATCTCATCCATATATGGGTATGGATAGGTGGTGGGAGTTGATTCGGAATTGAGTGATTTAGATGTACCCTCTGGTTATTTAGCATAGCCATGGAAAATGGCCCATTTATAGATGGTTTAGCTATTAAAGATGGTGGATCTTTCCATGGCTATGTTAAATAACCAGATGGTAATTCAAGCCAATTGAGCATGGATATTGCCTGTATACATATCTTGAGGGGATGAACATGAATGAACGTCTAGCAGCTAGGGTCAACCGGCTTGCTGAAAAGCGGTACCAGTATTCGTTGTGTTTTCGAGATGTGTACAGATGTAATGTGCAGTTATGGCCATTTATTAGTTATAACTGGTTATAAATGGGATTATACAATCTATAAATGGGGTTATAAGTACTTATAACTGGTAAAGGGCCATAACTGTGTACTGCAAAACAAAAATACCATGGGTCAATCGTTGGTTTCATCGCTGGTTACAACTTCGGAGGGTTGAACAGCAGATCATAGCAGAGGCTCTCCACTGACCGTCCTCATAGTGCAACCTGTTCCTGCAGGTCCGGCCAGCTTCGCCGTTTTCGGAATCGGTCGCTGGGCTCAGTCACTGGATTAATTTGTGTGGGAACGAATGGCAATGATGTTTTTGCTTCCCATCAAGGTCTAAATTCTGGATGGATATGGACATGTCCTCGACATGTTCTCTTGAACCAATCTGGAAAGGCCATGAATGGGGGCATAATTGCCCGATTCTTGGACACATCCGAATGTTGAATTGTTGCTTAAATCCCATTAAATCACCATGGTGTCACCATTTAACAGGGTTCCTCCAACCCATAATGATAGATAATTATTTTAAATGATACTCGTAGCGAGGCTAAACAACCTTGCTCAACCCCATTTTTCACCCATAAATCCGCAGAGTCAGAGCATCGTAGAGCCATTGAAAACAAGCCTTAGATGAAACTCGAGCTCTGAGCTTTTGGATGCAACGACGAAATTTCTGCGGCAGGGAGCAGTGCCAGCCGTGGCCGGCAGCATACCCTCGCCGTGTGCCACACCGCATTCTTCGGTCACTGGTTTCGCGGCTTCGAGGTCAAAGGCGTGCTCGGGTCAACCAAGAAGAATTGGTTTTAAATCAGCAAAACAGGGGATTTTACCGTCGATTTTGGGATTTCGCGAAAAAATTGTTGGATCCAACCATCTCAACATTTGGAGCGGTACTTCAATTTTTGAGGGGCCAAGCAGCCAAAATGTGAAGGAGTTTCAAACCAAAATTAAAAAAAAACATAGATGTAACATGATGATTACATGATGTAATTCCGAGGCCATCATAGTATTTTGATGTATTTTGGGATCCCACTACTATTGATCTATTGACGGCCTGTTGGCTCTACCACGGAATCTAAAGTAGAGGTTTGCACCCTCGTTTTCTGTGACTTGATGAGGTACAGAAACGTTGCAGTACATATGTCGTGGTCAGGGATAGTCATCAATTTATATTAATACCATTATGATGACTATTACCATATGGTAGTACATACCATTATTCATCTTGATAAACTATGGTAGTACATATGCTTATACGACCATTACCATTCATCATTCCCATTGTGGGATGGATGACCATACCGAATGTAGCATGTTTTGACCATGGCATATTTGTTTGATGTCCATTTACACCCGCCTCGGGTAAGGTCCATTGGTTGACAGGATAGGTGTGATCAGTTGGACAACAGCTTGGGCATGTGCAGTGTTTTTTGACTGCAAATATTAGTTCAATACCTATGGACCCACAGAGCTTAGATCACATTATTGAAGTAATATTATATATATATATATTATACATAGTTATATATATGTCAATGTATATATATATAATTATATATATATAATTATATATATACATTGACATATATATAACTATGTATAATATATATATATAATTATATATATACATTGACATATATATAACTATGTATAATATATATATATATATATATATAATTATATATATATATGTCAATGTATATATATATATTATTTGTGGACTTCACTATATCTGTAGATCTATGGATCATATGTGATCCATGCAACAAGATGATCTCCTGCAGCACGGCGCTGCGCTAAGGTACATCTACCCAAGTCACTTCGAAGGCTTTTTGCGCAGCAAAAAACAGATGTTCCACGGTCACAGCAAAAAACTCATGGCCTGTGTGTAATATGGTCTGGGTAAATTATAACGACCTCACTGCGACCTCACTGCTCCCTCACTGGGAATAATGGTTAGTAAGGGAAATCATCCCCAAATGGCCTTAATTCAGGTTAGTGAAATATTATAATTTACCAAGATATGGTTATATTATGTTTAGAGGTTCTATAGTATATATATATATTATAAAGAATAAACATATATTTTTTCTAATATACACTCTTGAAATGATATAATTGTATATACATATACAGATGATATAGCTGTGAAAGAAAATGATCATGCCCCATCACTTCTGGTGATATATATTATATATATATCCCAAAGATGAGAACTACACAAGGGTGGATGAAGACTGCAGCCAGGCCGTGTTTTCAGTGAGAAACTCAGTGGACAGTGGATTCCCTTGTGACCCTTGTGATGACTTATTTTGTGCACCCTTTTGTTTAATTAATAGCTTAATGCAGAGCCTGAAACAGACGGTCTGAAAATCTCGAAGATGGTGTCTTCAACATCGTTTTTCCTATGGATAGACTGCCAGTCTTGGGGTTCCACGAAACTCGACTTCTTCGTAGCCACGAACGGAAAGTGCATCCTTTGAGCCAGGGGAGATAAAGGAGATCCACATCATCACAGTGCATAGTTACATATGTTTAAAGCAACTAATCCCAGTAATTATAAAGTTGTTAAGCAGTAACATTATACATCATAGTATATCATATTACATTTTTTCTATATGGTATTATATTAGATTGGATTAGATTATATTTTTCCATATGCATATACATATAGATGTTTCCATCAATATATATTGTATATACATATTATATTGGATTAGATAATACATCCAATAACATCAATTATATTTTCCATATGCATATATATATATAATACCTTATATACATTTGATGTTCCATTAATTTGCCTTCCGCACTTCCCCGGCACTTCCGCATGCTCCCATCATCGCTTGGGAGGTCCCTGCGGTCCCTGCGGTTCCTTCCGCGCCCTGTGGCTTGGAGCAAAGCCAAAACGTCAAGTTATGAAAAAGTGAGAAATGCCATGGGCCCCTCAGCGACTTTAAGGACTTCTATCTTAACTTGGAGGTTACTATATATATATGTATGTGATATATATATACACGTCGTATACAAACAGTTATATCCATGTCGTACATCGTATCTGCCGTATCTCTTGGATCATTTCCTGCACCTTTGAGAAATGCCACCACCTTGAGGCAGATCGGTCCAGTTTGTAAATGCACAAGCCTCTTTTGTGCGGGTCCCAAGCAAAAGATCATGCCCATGTGTTCAGTCTATATGTAGATATAAATATATATGTATATTATATTATATCATATTATCATATTATGTCATGTTTTGTTACATTATATTTTGTGACGTTGTGTTATATTATATTACATCAATTTTAGTGTATAATATCTCTTGATGGTTTTGTTGGTATATTCAATGTTTTTTTGTTATTTTGTGTATATATATTTGAATATATGTATATATATAATTACAGTATATATATATAATCATATGTATATATATATGTATATAATTACAGTATATATGTAAATATAAATATTATATTGAATATTACATATACTACATATAGTCTATGTATCCAAACACCACTCCAGGAAAGTAATAGGCCGTATTTGATGCGCCAACTTATATCTTATTTGACACTTTTTGGAGTGAGCTATCCCTGTTAACCTTCAGCAAGCTGAATCTACCGAGGAAGAGTGATTTGTTGTAAATGTTTGTTTGACATATTTTGAAATCACATCTATCTCCAGCTCTGCGTACGTCGGTTATCGGAGGTTATCCTATTTTTGGTGTGTCTCTTCCAGCTGAAACGCACGGATGTGCTCAATGTTTATGAATCATAGTTTGCAACACAAGCTGGAATGAAGGTGCAGAATGACACAATTTGCGTGAGTGTAGACACTTAATTTTTCAGACTGTTGTGCGGCATTGACCCAGATCTTGTCATATTTTACAACCAATAGCGGATACGGCATTGACCTAGATGACCCCAATGGATGCTGCCCTCAGGCATCAGTCGTGCCTGCTGTCGTAGCGCCCTCTTCGCCCTGCATGGCGTCTTGCGGAACGCCGCAGTCTCCCTGTAACTTGTTTGCATATTCCAATGACTGAGCATGAGCAAGGTTGCACTCAGCAGGAGAGGTCCTAAGTTTATTTGGCTGTCTATGTCAATCATTTCTCCTGTTGTCGTTTTATGTCGCTTTGCACAAAGATTGGACTTGCGTAGAGAAATTAAGCTTGTTGCATGAGTTGGACGCTGTTGTACAGCTTCTCTGGGCCAACTCAAGGCAGATCAGTCCAGTTTGTGAACCCACAGGTGCGGATCATTCCAATCCTTTTTGTGTTCATCTAGTTTTGCTTACATTCAATTTGATGATCCATAATCATGTTCAAGTTGCTTTGTGCTGTTTGTTCAGAGTTCTGAGGTGTTCTGTCCATGTTGCATTCCTTGATTTCTTTCGGAAAAACCTTGACCCACTTTGACCTTTTGAGAGGCCCAGACCCTGCTGACATCAGCCGCAGTCTCAGGCACCAGAATTCGTAAATGGTGTTGCTTTGCTGGAATCAGATGGAATCAGGTGATTTGTGCTGTTCCTTGTGATGTCATAGAAGAAGATAGAATAAGACCACACAAATTCGCACAAGTGCGCGGCATAGACCCAGATGTTCTTGCTTTCTGCTGCAATAATCTGTAATTATACACTGACCCCAATGGATGCTGCCTAAGGCATCAGTCGTGCCTGCTGTCGCAGCGCCCTCTTCGCCCTGCATGGCGTCTTGCGGAACGCCACAGTCTCCCTGTAACTTGTTTGCATATTCCAATGACTGAGCATGAGCAAGGTTGCACTCAGCAGGAGAGGTCCTAAGTTTATTTGGCTGTCTATGTCAATCATTTCTCCTGTTGTCGTTTTATGTCGCTTTGCACAAAGATTGGACTTGCGTAGAGAAATTAAGCTTGTTGCATGAGTTGGACGCTGTTGTACAGCTTCTCTGGGCCAACTCAAGGCAGATCAGTCCAGTTTGTGAACCCACAGGTGCGGATCATTCCAATCCTTTTTGTGTTCATCTAGTTTTGCTTACATTCAATTGATGATCCATAATCATGTTCAAGTTGCTTTGTGCTGTTTGTTCAGAGTTCTGAGGTGTTCTGTCCATGTTGCATTCCTTGATTTCTTTCGGAAAAACCTTGACCCACTTTGACCTTTTGAGAGGCCCAGACCCTGCTGACATCAGCCGCAGTCTCAGGCACCAGAATTCGTAAATGGTGTTGCTTTGCTGGAATCAGATGGAATCAGGTGATTTGTGCTGTCCCTTGTGATGTCATAGAAGAAGATAGAATAAGACCACACAAATTCGCACAAGTGCGCGGCATAGACCCAGATGTTCTTGCTTTGTCTGCTGCAATAATCTGTAATTATACACTGACCCCAGTGGATGCTGCCTGAGGCATCAGTCGTGCCTGCTGTCGTAGCGCCCTCTTCGCCCTGCATGGCGTCTTGCGGAACGCCGCAGTCTCCCTGTAACTTGTTTGCATATTCCAATGACTGAGCATGAGCAAGGTTGCACTCAGCAGGAGAGGTCCTAAGTTTATTTGGCTGTCTATGTCAATCATTTCTCCTGTTGTCGTTTTATGTCGCTTTGCACAAAGATTGGACTTGCGTAGAGAAATTAAGCTTGTTGCATGAGTTGGACGCTGTTGTACAGCTTCTCTGGGCCAACTCAAGGCAGATCAGTCCAGTTTGTGAACCCACAGGTGCGGATCATTCCAATCCTTTTTGTGTTCATCTAGTTTTGCTTACATTCAATTGATGATCCATAATCATGTTCAAGTTGCTTTGTGCTGTTTGTTCAGAGTTCTGAGGTGTTCTGTCCATGTTGCATTCCTTGATTTCTTTCGGAAAAACCTTGACCCACTTTGACCTTTTGAGAGGCCCAGACCCTGCTGACATCAGCCGCAGTCTCAGGCACCAGAATTCTTAAATGGTGTTGCTTTGCTGGAATCAGATGGAATCAGGTGATTTGTGCTGTCCCTTGTGATGTCATAGAAGAAGATAGAATAAGACCACACAAATTCGCACAAGTGCGCGGCATAGACCCAGATGTTCTTGCTTTCTGCTGCAATAATCTGTAATTATACACTGACCCCAATGGATGCTGCCTAAGGCATCAGTCGTGCCTGCTGTCGTAGCGCCCTCTTCGCCCTGCATGGCGTCTTGCGGAACGCCGCAGTCTCCCTGTAACTTGTTTGCATATTCCAATGACTGAGCATGAGCAAGGTTGCACTCAGCAGGAGAGGTCCTAAGTTTATTTGGCTGTCTATGTCAATCATTTCTCCTGTTGTCGTTTTATGTCGCTTTGCACAAAGATTGGACTTGCGTAGAGAAATTAAGCTTGATGCATGAGTTGGACGCTGTTGTACAGCTTCTCTGGGCCAACTCAAGGCAGATCAGTCCAGTTTGTGAACCCACAGGTGCGGATCATTCCAATCCTTTTTGTGTTCATCTAGTTTTGCTTACATTCAATTTGATGATCCATAATCATGTTCAAGTTGCTTTGTGCTGTTTGTTCAGAGTTCTGAGGTGTTCTGTCCATGTTGCATTCCTTGATTTCTTTCGGAAAAACCTTGACCCACTTTGACCTTTTGAGAGGCCCAGACCCTGCTGACATCAGCCGCAGTCTCAGGCACCAGAATTCTTAAATAGTGTTGCTTTGCTGGAATCAGATGGAATCAGGTGATTTGTGCTGTCCCTTGTGATGTCATAGAAGAAGATAGAATAAGACCACACAAATTCGCACAAGTACGCGGCATAGACCCAGATGTTCTTGCTTTCTGCTGCAATTATCTGTAATTATACACTGCCTAAGGCATCAGTTGTGCCTGCTGTCGTAGCGCCCTCTTCGCCCTGCATGGCGTCTTGCGGAACGCCGCAGTCTCCCTGTAACTTGTTTGCATATTCCAATGACTGAGCATGAGCAAGGTTGCACTCAGCAGGAGAGGTCCTAAGTTTATTTGGCTATGTCAATCATTTCTTCTGTTGTCGTTTTATGTCGCTTTGCACAAGGATTGGACTTGCGTAGAGAAATTAAGCTTGATGCATGAGTTGGACGCTGTTGTACAGCTTCTCTGGGCCAACTCAAGGCAGATCAGTCCAGTTTGTGAACCCACAGGCGCGAATGAGCCATTTCGACTATATGTTTGTTCTGATTTCATCGGTGTCGAGTTCGGTCCATCTTGCTTTACTGTGAGAATCCAGTGGAGGAATGCCTTTGTTTCTTGGTAAGGTAGAATTGTCTCCATGTTCAACCTCACAGGGTAGCGGTCTGTTTGGAAGCTACCCCATATATTGGGTTTATACATTTGTTCATTGTTTTCCGCTGTGAACACGGCCAAAAATTGGGATGTTTGACCCGTCACTACATTCACAGCTGAAAAATGCAGGGTTCCAACAATCCCGCCGCATGAGACAGAGCCAGATGGTGATGCTACCCTTTTTATGTGTTTTTTTTGGTTTTGTTTTTTAAACAGATCAGAACATATCAGGACATATCAGGACATATCGGCTTCTATCTCTCCGTCTGTCGCAATTCGGTCACATCTCAGTTTTGGTGGATAATCCCACTGGTTAACGGAATCAATTCATTGATCACATCACTTTTCTGGTTGGTGGTTAATAACTGAATAACCTTGTATGATTTGATAACCTTGTATGATATCTCACACACATATCATCTAATATTGATTGATTAAATCATCATTTTTCACCATTTTTCCATATATTGGGAATATCATTCCAACTTATTTTTTTTTCAGAGGGGTTGAAACCACCAACCAGTTTTGGTTGGTGAAATCCCACGACATCCCCGCGTTGACACCAGGCGTCTGGGTCCGTAGGCTTGGTGGCCTCGCCATGTGCGCTAGCTGGTTGAGACTTGGGAAGGGGATTGGTATAATGACATTTATATATATATATAAACATATTATATATATACATGTGGGTGTGTGTGTGTGATTTGTGGGGATCATAAAAAAGGCGGGTATCCCCATTTCATAGCAACTTAAATGAGGAAGAGTATGATTACAAAACCGTGTGAACAAAAACTCAAGAAAATTGTGTTGCTTCAACAAAGTTAGGGATTAAATACGACAAGACAGCGGTGAATGGTGAAGGGCTCAACGAAAAAGGACATTTGGATAGTCAAGTCTTGAAAACAGAAATTGAAGAAGTTGCTGAGGATGCATATATAGGTATTAAACACCTCAAATATTGAAAGAAGTTGGGTTGTTTAGGTTTTGCATTATTTTGAATCACATAAATGAATATGTAACAAGATATTCAGCACACTAGTTGACAATATAAGGAGATATACTGATACCTTAAACGTTGGTGGTCAAGCACAAACAAATACATGTTTGCCTCAAGAGAATTGGATGGTCAATGCTGAACACGGCCCAATTTCCTGGGCATCAAGATTTTGATTGTAGACCCATACTAGGGGATGGTCATCCGGTTCATATACCCATAAAAAAGTATGAAATGATTGTGGATGATCTTAGCCCATTAATCCCATCCATTTGACCCTGGCACATATGAGATGTCACAATCATAATTACTCAACAGGATTCTTGGTCGATTTCACAGGATTGGTAGTGAACTTCTTAGGGGTCGTATATATGGATTTCCTTTGGTTCGCAATGTGCGCAATACCGTTTCAGATACGACGATGCCCCCCATTTCCATTTTCCGAAACAGCGACAGTGGCACAGCGTTTTCCAAATCTCCTATCCTGTAAAAAAATCCTCCAAGGTGGAGTTCGCATGGTTCAGGTGCAGCAAGTTTTGAGGGAAGGATCAGCAAAGATGTCAATTGATTGGCTATGCTTTGTGCTCAAAGAAAATATATACAGTAATCCAAATGGTTTGAGGGTTGAGGTTGTTACAAACCGGAAATTTGCGAGTTATTTCCATGTTCCTAACTCTTATAAAAGAAATCCCTTCCACTAAGAGTCACTAAGATGAATTACCACCCTAGGCCCTTCGGAACCGCAATTCACGAATAGATTCGATACTAAAGCAAGGTTCCAAGGATATAGCATGATATAGCTAATCTTAGGGGCAAAGATTGTTTTTTCGGCGAGATTTTCCAACCATGAAGGTCATAACCTGGTGGCACTTTGATGCCATACCCTGACATCCAAACCCAGATCCTCCATGTGTAGCACATTGTAAGCCGCGAATTGCCTACTACCAATCTGATGTGGAAGGGAAAATACCCCATCAACTTCCTATTTATAAAGATGATGTTCTTATAAAGGGACGGGTAGTAACCATTGCCATGTCATATCGGGTGTTTCGCAAAATTGAGGTAACCCCCAAAACCAATGGGATTGCCATCAAACATTTGCAACTCTAAATAAAAGTTGAAGAAACTCGGCGCATTTTAAATGGCTTTGGGGTTAGATATTTTGGGTCCCCCATAGCTTCAGATGGCCAGCCGCCTTTTGCGAGGCGACCGGAGGTGCATCTCCTGCCCCATTGATGCTCCCCAGAAGCTTGGTTGAAGAAATTTGGGGGGTTTCATAAACGGGGGATTCCTAAAATGGATGGTTTACAATGGAAAATCCTATTAAAATGGATGATTTAGGGGTACCCCGATTTTAGGAAACCTCCATTTGATTGTGAATCTACGGTGATCTCTTCATGATGATGGTCGCTCAGTTGATGGTGTTTGATATTAGGACATATTATAGGAGGATTGGATTATCAAAAGCATGGGTTTGGGCCCACACGAATGAACACTTTCTCAAGTACAGCCTTGAAAATGACCTGAATTTGAAAGGTTGGATTTCACCCAAAAAATGATGCCGATTTTGACCTAGTTCCAGAAGATCATCGATGCTCAATGAGAACCTCTGTCAGTGAAGAGACATTTGTAACCAAAACAAATTGGACTTGAGTCAGCCACAAGATGACTTCTTCAGGCAGCAGACCTTGGGATATACTATGATATAGTGCAATATGACATGACCAACACACGCCTGCATATTGAATGGTATTGAGCGTGAATACATGATGTATGGTGTGCATGATTCAAAAATCCATTTCACAGAAAAAAGGATAAAAAAAGGTCACTGGTTGGATGATTTATGACACAACTGAGACTGGGAAAGCTTGCCCAGCTGTGAAGTACGGCAATGCATCAATTAGCACCGTGCAGATTCACACCAATAAAGGTGACGGAGTTTGTTCCTTCTGTGCCATGTTTGAGTCATCTCCCCCAGTAAAGTATCATACAGGGCCAAGTGAACCCTCAGAGGAAACAAGTTTCTTGTCCCAGTCCAGCCTTTATCATTCTTGTTATCCCGAAACCAAACGGGTTTTCTCATTCAAAATCGCCGATGATTTGGATGGTCGTGTCTCCAATTCAACAAAAATAACATCCTCAAATACGGATGCTCAAATGGAGGTTTCTTATGGTTTCTTAAAATAAGGGATGCCCAAGTCACCATGAGTTTCAATACTAAGTCATGGTCTAATGACACGATGATTTGGTACTCCCTATAACTTCGGAATGCTCCAAATATTGAACAAATGGACCAACGACTTCAGTGTGTTCATTCGCGCCCGAAGCGCAGCACCAAGGCTCTGTTTGTTGGACTCGGACTTCGCCGCAGGCAGCTGGCATGTTTTTTTTTCTGGCCATTTTCCACATGCACATGGCTGGCTGGAAAATCCTCTCTTTGGGAATAATATGGGATAATCAATGATAATCATCTATACAGTCTATACATTGATTATTTATGGTTATTTCATGTGATTTATGTTCAATTTCTGCGGCCTACACCTAGAGTTCGACGCACCCTGGATCCTGTGAGTGCAAGCACCCCAAAAATTGACGTTGTCAGCGATATCCTATCTATGTTGCAGCTGGTCTTCATTTTCTCTTTAGTTGTGCTCTGATTATGTGTATAAATATATATATATATATTTAAGGGCTGCCGCCCCTGCCGCCGACCCCGGAAGAAGTGGCAAGGAAGCAAAGCTGGCAGAAAAACGCTTCGGTGCGTTGCACCTTGAGGTTCTCGACCTTTTTGCTATGTACATCCTTGTGAAATATATTTGATAGGTTTGAATTTTCATGTGTAAATGGGTTTTTCATTTGAGTGCATGTTATTAATACTCTGATCTTATGGTTTTATGGGTTCATGGATCTAAGTAACAGTATAATAGTTAGATATATATATACACAATATTTTTGGCCCTATTATTATACAGCTAATGTTGCGCCGCACAGGTGCATGGTTGCGCCGCACAGGTGCATGATATTTTATGAAAGTATACGAGGGCGTTGTTTTTTTTGATCCCCCACCTTGTTTGTTTGACTTCCCCCGTGTTTTTTGACCCCTCATGAACGAAATCTGAAATGAAACTCTAAAGAAACTCTCAAGAAACCCACATGAATGTTTGAAAACCTTGACAAGATTTTCTGATAAGAAATTCACATAACACTCGAAATTAAACGCGAAAGGAAATCGGAAAGAATCCCTAAATGAAACCCTACATGAAACCCGACAGAAACGCAAAAGAAACTCGAAATAAAACCCTTAAGAGATGTAAATATCAAGAGAATTCCTACATGAAATTGAAATCCTACTTTTTTTGTTTTATTCTTTCCTGTTTGTATCTTAAATGAAAGTTTAAACACCGTAGGTGAAACTGTGAAACCGAAAGAAACCCGAATGAATTGCTGCCAGAAACCCCTACATGAAACACAAAATGAACCCTAAAGAAATCATAAATTGACCTAAAGAAACTATAAATGAAAGCCTGCAATTCAATGCAATGCAATGCACTGCAATGCAATGCAATGCAAGGTAATGCAATGCAATGTACTGCAATGCAATGCAATGTAATGGAATGCAATGTAATGCAATGCAATGCAATGTAATGTAGTGCAATGCAATGTACTGCACTGCAATGCAATGTAATGCAATGCAATGAAATGCAATGCAATGTAATGCCATGCAATGTACTGCAATGCAATGCAATGTAAGGCAATGTAATGCAATGCAATGCAATGTAATGCAATGCAATGTACTGCAATGCAATGTAATGGAATGCAATGTAATGCAATTGAATGCAATGTAATGCAATGTAATGCCAAGCAATGTAATGCAATGCAATGCATTGCAATGAAAAGCAATGAAATGTAATGCAATGCAATGCAATGCAGTGAAATGTAATGCAATGCCATGTAATGCAATGTAATGCCATGCAATGTAATGCCATGCAATGTAATGCAATGCAATGCCCTGCATTGCAATGAAGAGCAACGAAAGGTAATGCAAAGCAATGCAATGAAGTGTAATGCAACGCAATGTAAGGCAATGTAATGTTATGCAATGCAATGTAATGCAATGCAATGCATTGCAATGTAACGCAATGAAATGTATCGCACCTTGAAGCGCAGCAATCTTGTTATCTAGACTTGGAACAGCAGAGGACGCAGCAAAAGTACTTGGGCATAGTTGGGTGCCCACTTGGGATGGCTGGAAAGAATTGCAAACAAGCACGACAGAGGCTCACTGCGTTGCAGTTGCGGACCGTCTGTGTGACATCGCGCAAGTAAATGCTCCTGGCCGAAGCATGACTGATACCCAAGCTTTAAAGGCTTTGGCAGCTGAAGGGTTCAGGTGGCAGCAGGCGCTGTCACACGGCGTCAACAATTGCCTAATCGATTCCTTGATGCTGTGCTTAGCGTATGAAGGTCTTTTGCCAAGCAACTTGGGCGCAGATGTTGCAGCAAGACGACGCAGTGCAGTTGCATGCAGAAAGCATTTGGTTCAAGCGGTTGGGCAAGCAGTACTTCCAAGCGCGAAGGGATTCTTTCCATATTTAGATGCGCACCGCGATGGCCCGCACATTGTGACATTTCTGTTGCAACGATTTCGGGCTGTTGCGCGCGCTAACATGATAATTCGTGTGCACGACCGATTTGGTGAGTGCACGGCAGACCCAGATCGGAACAAGATTCTTGTCCATCTTGGGTTCGAGCACCCCGAGCATCATGCCTTACAGCTGCATATATACAATCACACCTCTGTGCAAGGCAGGGGATATCATTTTGATAGTCTGTTGCGCCAAACCACTGTGCGTGAAACTGAACCAACCGTAGAGACGGACAGCACGAGGACAAGCGCCAACATAGACAGAACAGAAAAAGACGTAGATCGAAGAGCAGAAGCAGTATTTGCCAAGCTGGCATGGCGCCTTTGCGGTTCTAGTTTTGATATCCCCTGGCTTGAAGCATTGCTATTGAATTTGCTTTTTCATGGATACCTTTCTATGGGACCTTCTGTGATGGCATCGCAGAAAGCACGACATCAACTATGCAGATCATGCCAAAGACATCTAAAATTGGAGCCAAAGCCGGACGAGGCAGAAGCACAGACTTTCGACTTGCAAAGCCACCTTGCGGCCGCAATATTTTTTCTTCTGGGCACCAGCTACAAGAGTGTGAATGCTGATGTATATGTTCATGATGCAAGTACAACTGACTTGAATGTACCACGAGACAGTTACAGGATTGGTCCACCCGACAGTTTGCTAGTGCCAATTTTCCGACTCTACTGTTTTCAAAATGGTCAGTATGCCGCGTTATTGCCTCTGCTGGTGTCTGCTGCTGCCTGCTGCTGCCTGCTGCTACCTGCTGCTGCCTGCTGCTGCCTGCCTGCTGCTCCCTGCTGCTGCCTGCTGCTGGTGCTGCTGCTGGTGGCTGCTGCTGCTGCTGTGGTGCTGCTGCAATCAAACAGCCTCCAAAGCAAGAAACAAACAGCCAGACACCCTTTTCGAAACACATCCGAAACAGCAAAACACCACCTAATTTCGTGCCCAAAACGTAGCAAAGGAACCCCAAAAAAGGGCCTAACGTCACTTCTGAAACCCTACTATAAAATTGCAACTTTGCCGCTGCCTGCCGCTGCCTGCTGCTGCTTGCTGCTGCCTGCTGCTGCCTCTGCTGGTGTCTGCTGGTGCCTGCTGCTGCCTGCTGCTGCCTCTGCTGGTGTCTGCTGCTGCCTGCTGCTGCCTGCTGCTGCCTGCAGCTGCCTGCGGCTGCCTGCGGCTGCCTGCCTGCTGCTCCCTGCTGCTGCCTGCTGCTGGTGCTGCTGCTGGTGGCTGCTGCTGCTGCTGCTGTGGTGCTGCTGTGGTGCTGCTGTGGTGCTGCTGCAATCAAACAGCCCTCAAAACGTAGCAAAGGAACCCCAAAAAAGGGCGTCACTTCTGAAACCCTACTTAAAATTGCAACTTTGCCGCTGCCTGCTGCTGCCTGCTGCTGCCTCTGCTGGTGTCTGCTGCTGCCTGCTGCTGCCTGCCTGCTGCTCCTTGCTGCTGCCTGCTGCTGGTGCTGCTGCTGGTGGCTGCTGCTGCTGCTACTGTGGTGCTGCTGTGGTGCTGCTGTGGTGCTGCTGCAATCAAACAGCGTCCAAAGCAAGAAACAAACAGCCAGACACCCTTTTCGAAACACATCCGAAACAGCAAAACACCACCTAATTTCGTACCCAAAACGTAGCAAAGGAACCCCAAAAAAGGGCCTAACGTCACTTCTGAAACCCTACTTAAAATTGCAACTTTGCCGCTGCCTGCCGCTGCCTGCCGCTGCCTGCCGCTGCCTGCCGCTGCCTGCTCTGCCTCTGCTGGTGTCTGCTGCTGCCTGCTGCTGCCTGCTGCTGCCTGCTGCTGCCTGCTGCTACCTGCTGCTGCCTGCTGCTGCCTGCCTGCTGCTCCTTGCTGCTGCCTGCTGCTGGTGCTGCTGCTGGTGGCTGCTGCTGCTGCTGCGGTGCTGCTGCAATCAAACAGCCTCCAAAGCAAGAAACAAACAGCCAGACACCCTTTTCGAAACATATCCGAAACAGCAAAACACCACCTAATGTCGTGCCCAAAACGTAGCAAAGGAACCCCAAAAAAGGGCCTAACGTCACTTCTGAAACCCTACTATAAAATTGCAACTTTGCCGCTGCCTGCCGCTGCCTGCTGCTGCTTGCTGCTGCCTGCTGCTGCCTCTGCTGGTGTCTGCTGGTGTCTGCTGCTGCCTGCTGCTGCCTCTGCTGGTGTCTGCTGCTGCCTGCTGCTGCCTGCTGCTGCCTGCAGCTGCCTGCGGCTGCCTGCGGCTGCCTGCCTGCTGCTCCCTGCTGCTGCCTGCTGCTGGTGCTGCTGCTGGTGCTGCTGCTGGCTGCTGCTGCTGCTGCTGTGGTGCTGCTGTGGTGCTGCTGCAATCAAACAGCCCTCAAAACGTAGCAAAGGAACCCCCAAAAAAGGCGTCACTTCTGAAACCCTACTTAAAATTGCAACTTTGCCGCTGCCTGCCGCTGCCTGCTGCTGCTTGCTGCTGCCTGCTGCTGCCTCTGCTGGTGTCTGCTGGTGTCTGCTGCTGCTCCTTGCTGCTGCCTGCTGCTGGTGCTGCTGCTGGTGGCTGCTGCTGCTGCTGTGGTGCTGCTGCAATCAAACAGCCTCCAAAGCAAGAAACAAACAGCCAGACACCCTTTTCGAAACACATCCGAAACAGCAAAACACCACCTAATTTCGTGCCCAAAACGTAGCAAAGGAACCCCAAAAAAGGGCCTAACGTCACTTCTGAAACCCTACTATAAAATTGCAACTTTGCCGCTGCCTGCTG